TGTATGTGTTATGTCTGGAATCAGGGAGAAATGTCGTGGAGATTTTAGGGAAAAGCTTAGCACAAGTGAAGTTGAACAGTTGAGGAGGAGCCAGGACCTATGCTAGTGAGTGAGCAGAACATCTAACGTGTGATACTTGGCTGAGGTTATGTCTGGTGAGTTTTGGAATAGGAGAGGTATAGGTATAGGAACGAGCATATTTATAGTAATGCAGATGAAAGATAACACAGCTTCAACCGAGAGAGTGACAGAGTTAATGACAGCCAAGATGGGTTTTAAGACGTTTGCATCACTCCACATGTGGGATCTAGCAACCGATTTGTTGTGAAGGACACAGGAATACAACTCGCACGTTAGAGAGATTAAGGCCATGGCGGTGTCATTAGCAGGAAAAGATTACGGTTGAAGGAAGCCAAGGAGAATGCACTGATTTCATTTTAAGGTCCATTGAGTTTGAGTATCAGTTGAATATCCCTATAAAATCAATCTACCAGCAATAAGAATATAATTCTCAAAAGAAATTAAGCCAGAGGGATAGAGTGTTAATTATACCGACAGACATGGGTGGATTGGCAGGGCAGTGGCAGAGAAGTTCTTGCTGAGGACCTATAAAAATGTCGTTTTATAAATGTGGAGAGGGGCAAAAAGCATGAGGAACGTAGTTAGAAGTTCAGACCATCATGAACAATTAAAACCAAGAAAAAGCATTGGGTTTAGAGGTTAGGGTGTCACTTGCAAACCTCGGAAGGACAGATTTTTCATCCGTCTGTCTGAAGAGTGGTCTGCAAGGACTTGGAAATCCGTGGGTGGTCGTGAGGTTGAAGAGGGGACCTTAGAGGTGGATTGACTTTCACATGGAAGTGGAGGTGAGCAGAACATGAGGGGGCAAGACTCCAGAACAACAAACAAATAAAGAATAAACCCCAGATTTGTGGGGTGCCGAAGGTAGAAGAATCGTGTGTATCAGAGACACGTTTTCGTGATTCATTCTTAGAGAGACAGTGGCCTCTGAGGGAGCAAACCAGGAAAAGACGTGCAGAGCCCGAGCCCAGTGGAAGGAGAGTGGAAAGGAGATCAGGAGTCAGTTTCAGGGGCTTCAGACTTCCCAAGATCTAGGCAGGATTACTTGCCGAGAGTGGGGAATGCTGGCTCAGGAAATAGCTTTTATCAAAGGAAGGCTGAGGTTGTTTGAAACTGCTCAGATGCTAATCAGTTTAGGATTATAATCATTTCACTGGCATCATGCTTGTGACCGCGCTGCCATCGGCAGGCCCGTTCCAGGTGTGGCTGACTGAGTCTCACTTTGTTCCAGGCGGTGCGGCTACAGCAAAGCAAAGCAAGACCCAGAAGAGGAGAAGATGCATTTCCATAATGGGCACAGTAAGCGGATCACGAAAGTCAAACAGCAAAGCAGCCAAGACTTGCTTGTCGGTTTTGTCTCACTTTAGGGTAGAGGATTTGCAGTAACCACCAAAAATATTGTGCTGGAAAGTGTTCCATTAAAAACCTGTAAACCAGATGGGTGTGGACATTGCCGGCTTGTTCTAGACAACAGCTGGATGGTTTATTCATTTCTTTTCTTTCCTTCTTTCTTTATTTTTTTCTCTCCTCC